AAAGAAAGAAAGAAAGAAAGAAAGAAAGAAAGAAAGAAAGAAAGAAAGAAAGAAAGAAAGAAAGAAAGAAAGGGAAAGCAAGCAAGCTTAGAGATGTGGTGACTGCGGCTGAGCCTTTCTGAAGGTCTATGTATTGCTCCCCCTGTGCCTCACTCCTTGGTGAAGGCCAAACACCTCAAATTCCCTATGGCCAAGAAAGCTCAGGGCCTGCAAATCTGCCCACCCCAAAAACTTCTTTTGGGGGTCCTAGTTACTTTTCCAGAGAACCTCTCCTCCCCAGTGATGTCTTCCTAAGTTCTAAGGTACAACAAAGAAGCAGTTTTAGTACGGGAAAGAGAAGCACCAAGAACAAACAAACGAAATGCTTTCCAAGAGCTCCCATTTTACCTGACTCCCATCCCACCCTGGGGGAAGGGAGGGAACCCTCCTAAAGAGGGCCCCCCTAAAAAAACAGGAGATGTTTTCTAAAGCTCACTATGATTACAGCACAGACACCCCGCTTACAGGCAGTTCTGTCAGGGGACTGCTCAGAAGGTTGGGCCCACACCGAAGATTCCAAAGCCCACAACTGGGCGCCTTGGACTAAGCCACAGGGAAGTTAACAAGGTCTGCCACAGGTGTGGGAATAAACAGCTGCCATCCACTGCAATGTAGAGGAGCTACACAGTGGGGACTCTCACTCCCCTCATCTGCCCAGGTTCAGAGTAGACTGCATGATGTGCACAGGGGTCACATGATAGAAACAGGAACCCAGAAACCACCACCTCCTACACCTCTGCATGGGCTACTGCACCCCATCTGCTCCCACCCAGATGCTAAATGACTGACACTACCTCTAGTCTCTTGGCACCCAGACACAAAGGTTTTCTTGCCTACAGATATTCAAAAGTTCTCTTGAGTTCCTAACCATCGATCACTCAAGCCTCCAAGCCCCCAAGTCTAAACATTCTAGAACCAAGTATCACTGGAGAAATCTCAGGGATGCATTCAACCTCAATATGTTTGTAAGTGCCCAGGCTCCAACCTCTATCTGGACACCTTCAGGGACAGGGCTGGTATCACCTTCCTGGAACACAAGTTCTATTCCCTAAGGCTCAAGATGTTGTCTAGCTGGCCTATACGGTCTCCCTTTAAGCCTAGTTCTGTCCTTTAGGGTCATCTAGAGTCCACCCTCGCATCACATGATAATTCTAATGCTGGAGGAGGTAAGAGCTGCTCCTGGGGGTGGGGGCCTTCAGCAGCCCCAGATATAACTCCATCAGGACCGCAGGCAACATGGCCTGCTCCATCACCAGAAGAGCTCATTCCAATGATCCAACCTAGTGTCTTCCCCCCCCCCCCCCCCCCGCTCCTGGGGCTTGATCTCCAGGTCTGGGCACTGTCCCTGAGCTTTCATGCTCAAGGCTAACACTCTATCACTTGAGCCATAGCTCTACTTCTGTTTTTGTGTTTTTTTTTTTGTTTTGTAGTTTAATGGAGATAATAGTCTCATGGGACTTTCTGGCCCCAGCTGGCTTCAAACCATGATCCTCAGATCTCAGCCTCTTGAGTAGCTAGGATTACAAGTGTGAGCGACCGACCAGTGCCTGGCACCAACCTAGTATCTTTTACTTAGTGTCTGGTGCAGTAAATTCCATTTTGTTAAAACTAGCTCCCTACCCAGCAGAGCAGCCATCCTAGCAGGCTACTTGCAGGATAGATTTTCCACCATCAGAAGCCTCAGATATACTGGCTACCAGGGAAGGAAGGGAACATCATAAGTCAGGTCTGGGTCTGGGTACGGAGGATCAGGACAGAGCAGCAGAGCAGAACACAAGATACGGTGCTGAGCCCCAAAGATTCAGTGTCCTGCATGGCAGAGATGGGGGTCAACTCTCCCATCAAGTACATTAGCATCTGATACTCAGAGAGGAAGCCACAGACCTGACCTGCATCCACTATGAGGTGAATTACCTATACCTATGCAGATCTGGCTGGGGATCTCACCGGAGGCAGCAGAGACCAGCAGTGTGGAAAGAAGTCCAGCCGGCAGCCTAAGCGTGGGCATTAGAGCTAGCTCTGTCTGATGAAAAGACTGACAATTCACTGGGCTCTGGTGGCACATACCTGTAATCCTAGCTACTCAGGAGGCTGAGATCCGAGGATCTCAGCACATGCAGGAAATCCAGGACTCCTAGTTTCAATTAATCACACACAAAAAAGCTGGAAATGGAGCTGTGGGCTCAAGTGGTAGTACGCTAGTCTTGAGCAAAGAAGCTCAGGAACAACGCTCAGGTCCTGAGTTCAAGCCCCGGGATGGACAAAATTAAATAAATAAATAAATAAAAGGACTTGTTTATTTTAATTGCTCATTTTGTCTTTTCTACAATTCTGGATTCCTGACTTCTTTGGAAAAGCTGGAAGATGGTACAGCATCGGACCAGCTGTTCTCAGATAGCATGGTCCCCTCTACAGGACAAGCCTTCCTGAGCTCTCCAGAGTCCCCACCAAGTCCACGCAACACCCCTTCTCTTCCTCCTGCCCTGGTGGGCATGTGAATTGGCACCAGATCCCAGTGGTATTTTCCTTGGCATCTCCTGCCTAAAAATGCCTGCCAAGTCTTTATTTCTCCCTAACAGAACATATTGTCCTTTTCTTCTTAAGAGACAAAGAATATTTTCCCAATCACAAAACATGTGTAAGGAGTTGGGGCCACAGCCTGCAAGATATGTGCCCCAAAGCAGCGTACCACTATGAGAGGGAAAGGGAGGAGTTTAAGGCACAGCCCATGGCCTCCTCAAGTACTAGGGTCTGCCAACTTATTTTCCAAAGAAAGGCTTTTGGCTCTCAGAGCCTGATGGGCTCTGCAAGACCTACTGAACTCAGCCACCATGACCTATGTAAATGACTGGGTGTGGCCATGTTCCAATGCTTACAAAAAGCAACGTGAGCTGGCCTCCACTTCATACGCTGTACTTTGCAGAACTTTTGGTTCCAGTTTCTTAATGTAATGGATTGGCATCAATTCCAGTCACTAGGCAGGAGGGGACCCTAAACATCATCCAGAAGAGATCTGCTGCTATGGCCTCTGTGCTGCCCAAGGACAGACCACTCTAGAGTGACACAGGACTAGATTTAAGTGTGTTCTGGCTGGGCCACTTAAGGAACAGATGTAATCTCTGATGAAGGGAGATCATGGGCTAGAGGACCATAGCAACTATTTCCCACAGTGAGCAAGCAAGCTCAATACTCAGTGTTCTATCATGAATGAATGAATGAATGAAAGTGTGCTGTATCCATCTTTCCATCTCTGATATCAAACAATGGGTATCCAATAAATACATGTTAAGTCTACAGCTCACATTAATAAAGAGGTCTGTTTCAAGTATTAACCCTCTAGACACATCACAATATATGTGATTCTTCATTAATAAAGATTATACACACTACCTTCACTTGTGTGTGTGTGTGTGTGTGTGTGTGTGTGTCCATGCATGCTGGTGGTGGGGCTTAAATTCAGGACCTCACACTCTCACTTGGCTTTTTCACTCAAGGCTGGCATTCGTACCACTTAAACTACAGCTCCACTTCTGGCTCTTTTTCTTTCTTTCTTTCCTTTTTTTGCTGGTCCTGAGGCTTGAACACTGGGCATGGCTGCTGCTCCTAAACTTGCCATAGCTCCACTACCGGTTTTTTGTTGTTACCTGGGAATAAGAGCCTCACAGACTGTGCCGTCTGGCTTTTGAATCATGATCCTCAGATCTCAGCCTCCTGAGTAGCTAGGATTACAGGCAGGAGCCACCAGTGCCTGGTGCCTTCTTTCTGTTGTTAAGAGCATGCTGACACTAGGTTTGAGAATCATAGTTTAAGGCCAGACATGCAAAAACATTAGTAAGATCCTTATATCTCAACCAACAAGCTAGGCATAGTGGTGTGTAATCCTAGCTACAAGGGGATAGAGGTAAGAGAATGGATGTCTGACGCCAGCTCAGGCAAGAAGCTTAAGACCTCATTGGAAAATAACTAAAGCAGAAAGATCTGGGGGTGTGGTCAAGGAGTCGAACACCCGAGTTTAAACCCTAGTCATGTGAGAACAGCAGTATCCCAGGGTCTGTGGAGCTTTGGGGGACCTCACTGGCTTCCACTAGCGCCCCTATAGGTAGAAAAGGGCGGTGGCAGAGCAGGTGAGGAGGGTGGCCCTCCAGAGTGCAAGACTCTGTTGTGCAAGGAACTAGAAAGAAAGAAAATGCTGTTATGGGAAGAATCGCATACAGGCTGACCAGACAGAGATGTGCAGAGATGTGCTGCAGAGATGTGCAGGTCCAGGAGTCAGGGCAGGACGCCAGGACATCGAGGACAGCAGAAGGCCTTGCTCACCTTCGGCTCCGATGGACACCAGCTTGACCCCTTTGCTGGCGATGAAATCTAGGGCCTTGTTGACATTAGAGATCTTGTGGACCCGCATCTTGCCTCTTTCTGGCTTGGCCAAGCGCTCACCTGATCGGATCAAAGGGAAGAAAAGGAGGTGAGATGCAATCCTTCGGATGCCAGGCCACTCTCGATACGTTCCACCGAAGGCACACCTTGGACGTGTGTGTGCTTGTGTGCTGTCACGCTGTCAAGGAAAGTGAGAGAGGCAGAGACCACCCCCTCTTCCTGTCCACGGGTCAGGTCCAAAGCTACACACACATTCACTCAGCGCTTATTTGTTTATTCCTAATTTTTCAAAGTAGTTGTACAAAGGGTTTCCATTCAACAATGCATCGCCACCACTGTCATCCCTCCATCATGCTCACAAGCCCACCCATCTCTCACAACCCACCCCTCCCATCTTAACACTGATTCATGCAGCCCCTAACAAAAGCCAAGGGTTAGCTGGGAGGGAATGTGAGAGTGAATGAAACCATTTCTTGTCTTTATGTCATGAAAGTCCAGTGGAAGAGACTGGCCTTAGATAAGGAAATGTACAAGTCAGTGTATACAATGAACACAAAAAGGACCAGTGAGAAGAAGGAGAGGCAGGGGAGAGGGGAGGAGGGAGGGAGGAAGAGAGAGGGAGGAAGAAGAGAAGGAGGGAGGAAAGGAAGAAGGGAAGAAGGAGAGAGGGAAAGGAGGAGGAAGGCAAGGAAGAAAGGAGGGAGGGAAGGAAAGATAAAAGGAAGGACTATGCTGGAAGGAAAGCCTATCTGAGAAAGCACATTTCTTTACAGAGCTGTGTCATACCATCCTTTGGGCCCTCTCCTGGAAAAGTAGAATTGAGTCTCAATAATGCTTTCTAGGGCTGGGAAGGAGGCTCAGTGGTAGAGTGTTTGCCTCACCATACATGAGGCCCTGGGTTCAATTCCTCAGCGCCACATAAGCAGAAAAATCCAGAAGTGGTGCTGTGGCTCAAGTGGTAGAGTGCTAGTCTTGAGCTGAAGAGCTGAATGACAGACAGTGAGTGCCCAGCCCAGAGTTCAGGCCCCACGACCGACAAAAATAAATAAATAATAAATAAATAAATAGAATAATGCTTTTTAAAATTGTATCCTCTAGTACCATATCATACCTGCTTGATGATCTGTAGTAGTGACTGTGCTTTATCAGAGTTGTTTTTAATGATGTTACTCAAGAATATTTTCTTTCCAGATGATGATTGAGAAGCTAATTTTAAAAAATGCTGTCAGGTACCACATCAGTAACAAAACTTCTCATTTTTCTTTTTTTTTAATTTTTTTAAAAAACCTTTTTTCCCCTTTTTATTCATGGAGTGTACTGTATGTCTAATTTTGTTCAGATGACTGCAGAACCTGGAAAAGCTATTGCTGCTATTAATGTATAACATACTGCTATTATTGGTCATATATATATATATAATTTGAATTTTTGAAAAATTTAGCTGTGCTGTCAACTTTGGAAAAAACATCCCATTCACCGTGTTAAGTTGGCATTGTAAAGAAATTAATAGCCATATGGGTCTAGAAATGTTACTTTTTTTCCCATTTGTACAGGGGTAAATGCACCATATTAAATATGTGAGGTCTTATCTAAGTGGGTTTAATTACAGAAACTAAAAAACAAAAGGATGAGGGGGAGGTAGGAAGAGAGAGGGAATCGAAAGGAAAGGGAGAAGGGAGGGAAGAATGAACTGAGGAATGGTTAGGGAAGACCCAAAGTGCAAAGCCAGGAAGATTGCAGGGACTGATGACCAAAGCAGAAGGACAGCATGTGCAAAGGTCCTGAACTCCTAGACTATTTCACTCAGGAAGGGAGTATAGGTCACTCTAGAGTATTTTGAAAAAGTTCCTTTGTGTTGAAATGTCTACAGTGCCCCTTCCCTATTTGAGAACCACTGCTGTGGGCTGCCCTGTTATATTGTCTCCAGTGAGTACCCAGGGCTCAGCCAAAGTCAGTCCCTACACACACATTCCTATCACAAAGTGGGTGGGGTGGGCTTCTGCTGCTCAAGCTTCAGAGCAGAAGCTGAGGGAGTAGGGCAAGAGTTCATCTTCCAAATCCCCCATAAAAAAAACAAGTGTCCAGGGGAAAAGGCCTGTCAATTTGGCTTGAGAGTCACACCTGGGAGAGCGGAACACTTCAGAGTCCCTTAGGAGTCAAGAACCCTAGGTGCTGAGCCCCAGGCCTCCTGAACCTGCTGCGATCCCCAGCCCAGCCTGGCAACCGCTGGCAGTGAAGAGTCAGGGCTGGCAGCTGGGCCACGGGCCAGGCCGCCCTCCTCAGGGGCAGCCACCGGCTTCCGGGAGACGGCAGACTGCCTGCTGCAGGTGGGCCAGCCTTCCGCTCCAGAAAGACACAGCTGCTTTCTCATTAAACCAAGACTTTCGCGGAGTTGCTCCTCAACACAGACCTTGCCGTTTCCTGACTGCAGAACTCTTGCCCAAGAGCCCAGGGTTCCTGCAAACCTGAGCCCCACCCCCCTCGGCAGCTATACACACAGTAGAAACCAGACTTCTAGGCAACCAGAGGTTGGAAAATTTTCCTGGGCCTAGACTAGCAGTTTGCAAGCTTGTGTCAGCCCGGAATCACCTGGAGAACTTGCTGCCCTGATGTCCAGCCCATCTAACTCCGATGGAGAGGGGCTGTGTGGAATAAGCAGTTCTACTGATTCTGGGGTCAGTGGCCCCAGATCACACTTTGAAGAGCCTTGTCAGCAGCATCCTCTTCCCTCTTCACACCCCTTGGTAGCCAGGATGAAGGAGGAAGAGGCACAGTGGTCTCGCTGACCCCATCTCCACCAGTTCTGGGAAAGATGTATGCCGCTCACAGAAAGGCCTGGCTGAGCTCCCTGTGCGTGTAGGCTGGGCAGCTCAGCAGGCTACCCTGTGGGACCTGGTAGAGCAGCCCAGCTCTGGGCATGCAAGCATCCTAATATTCTAGGTGTGACTGACACTTGCTTTCCATGCCCAGTTCTAAGGCATCTAAGTTCTAAGTTCTAATGCGAGCTCAGCAAGGAATGGGAAGACAATGAGCTGCAGATTGCAGCACTATGCAGTAAAAGACACAAGAAAGGAAAAGGCAGATGCTGCTGGGGTGAGGGGAGGTGGCGGGGGAGGGAGGTGGCAGCCAAATCAGATTTGGGAAGAAACATCAGGGAAGTCTCCTGAGAGGGAACCCCCAAGCTGAGTTGTGAAGAATGAAAGAGTAAATGACACTGGGTGCTGGTGGCTCACACCTGTAAATCCTAGCTACTCAGGAGGCTGAGATCTGAGGATAGCAGTTCAAACCCAGCCTGGGCAGGGAAGTCTGTCAAACTCTTACCTCCAATTAACCAACAGAAAACCAGAAATGGCTCAAAGTGGTAGAGTGCTAGCCTTGAGCAAACACAGTTCAGGGACAGTGCCCCAGACCCTGAGTTCAAGCCCCATGACTTAAAAAAAAAGAGTAACTGGAAGGTTGGTTGATTAGCTGGTTTTCAGCTGGGGAAGGTTGGAGGAGGAAGTAGAAAAAAAAATCTAAAAAGCAGAATAGAATAGTAATAGAATAGTAATTCCTTAAAACTTAAAACCAGAATTGCCAAATGATCCAAAAACCCCACTTCTGGGTATATACCCAAAAGAATCATATTCCAGGAACCCTTCAAATTTATTTATTTACACATTTAAATTTCCAAAGATAGAAGTGACCCAAGTATCCATTTGCAGATGAATGGGTAAATCAAATGGGGTGCATGCACCCGACAGAATACTATTCGGCCTGAAACAAGAACTCTGACACATACTACGACATAGATGATCCCCAACAGCGTTACACTAAGTGAAATAAGACACTGCATGAACCTGCTTACATGAGAGAGAAATCATCACCTTTCATCAGAGAGAGAAATCACAACGGCAGGGACTGGGACCAGGGAAGGGAGAGTTTGCATTAACAGGGACAGAGCGTCAGCTGGGGAGGCCAGAAAGTTCCAGAGATGGATGATGTAGGCAGTTGCCCAACAATGTGAATGACTGTAGTGCCAGTGAACAGTAAGTACTTGCAACTGACTAAAATGGTCAGTGTCACATGATGTGTATACACACACACACACACACACACACACACACACACAACCACAACCATCACACACAGAGGTTTTACCTGAAAAGGAAGCATGGAGGACTATTATTTTAAGAGGACTGAGCATGTGCAAAGGCCCAGAAAGCAGAGTCCATGTCATCTGGGTGCGCTCACCACTGTAGCAGAGGGCCTCAGGTCTACTACCTTTTTGGGAATAGTTGGTTCAAAATGAAACAGGTGCCAGCTCCCTCAGGCTGCTCTGCGAAGGAATGCGGACTGGGGCTGAAGGCCCTGGGGAGGGACGGCAGGCTGCTGAGCAGGGAACAGTGTGACCATATTTGGGTTGGCAGACGGCCGATCCCTGAGGGGATGAATGCAGGGTGGAGGGGACAGAGTCTCAGGCCTTCGGAGGGTAGCATAGAGGGATGTGACCCAGCATCTGGCTGACACTACAGTGCCCAAGGCTCAAAGTCAGGTTGTGAAGGACACAGAATGAAAAGAACACAAATGTCCAGCGGCAAAACGGACAGGGGCAGCTGTGGGTCTCAAGTGAGGGTCACAAGGTCACAGCAAAGGCTTCAAGAGGAAGAGAGGTTTGTGAGGGCCAGGACTCAGCTACAGGATGGACATGGTAGGAGATGCCCAGTGCCAAGACCTGGATGCAGTTTTGTCCTCAGTGGTTTGGGTGGTAGAAGCTTGAACCCAGTGAAGTGATGTTGAGCTGGCAGGGGCTTTTAAGGGGAGGGCCCCAGTGAGGTCATTGGGGGGTGGTGCAGTGTGTTCAAAAGCACTTAATAGCATAGTTCTTATGAATGAACGGCTATAAAACAGACAGCCTAGACTCTCTTTGCTCTCTAGTTTCCTATCTAGCACAGGGTCTCTACCCCCCTCCATGTTATGAGGTAGCCAAGGAGCCCAAACAAATGAAGACACTTGTCCTTGGAATTTCAACCTTCAAAACGATGAGCTACAGCAGAACGCCGATGGCTCATACCTGTAATACTAGCTACTTAGGAGGCTGAGATCTGAGGATCATGGTTTGAAGCCTGCCTGGGCAGAAAAGTCCCCATAAGACTCTTCTCTTCAATAAACGACTCAAAAACCACAAGTGGTGCTGTGGAAGAGCCCAGCCTTGAGCACAAAGAGGCTTAGGGACAGCACCTAGGCCGAGTTCAAGCCTCACAGCCTATCAAAACAACAACAAAAAACAAAACTATGACCTAAATGCATGACTTAGGGAGGAAAAAAAGTACCCAAGTACCCAGCCTCTTGTATTTCATTATAGCAACTGAAAAAGGACTAATACTAGGTTCATTATCTAAGAGGGTACTCAAGGGCTGGGAATGAGGCTGAGTGGTAGAGTGCTTACCTAACATGCATGAAGCCCTGGGTTCGATTCCTCAGTACCACATAAACAGAAAAAGCCAGAAGTAATGCTGTGGTTCAATGCTAAGAGTGCTAGCCTCGAGCAGAAACTCAGGGACAGTGCCAAGGCCCTGAGTTCAAGCCCCAGGACTGAAAACACACACACACACACACCAAAAAACAAAAGAGAGGACTGAAAACACACACACACACGCACAACACACACACACACACACACACACACACACACACACACACACACACACCAAAAAACAAAAGAGAGGGGACTCAAGAGAAACATGAGACCTCTGGCTGAGATCTGGTCTAGGACTCACTAGTATTAAGGCTGGGTGGCTGAAAAGTAGCCCCGTATATATACCAAGGCTAGACTCTTGGGGACCACCAATATTTAAAGGATGGCAAAGGAGAGGCACCCACAGGAAAGTCAAGATACACATTCAAGTGGAGTTGGGCCTGCAGACTGCTGGACAACCTAGGGGCTGCCAGCTAGGTTGTAGTGGAGCCAGGTTTCAAGCTAGGCCCCAAAGGTTACCCTTTTGCCCACAATTCCTGCCATTTTGAAGAAAAAGGAATCTCAGATACCACTCTTCCAAACCTCTCATTGTAATCTTGGATGTGGAGACAGAAAGACAAAATGACTGGGCCAAGACACTCACACACCTGTGGAACTGAAGGTGTGGCTCAAGTGGAAGAGTGCCAGCTATGAGCAAGACACCCACAGGGTCCACAACGAAACCAAGGCCTTCTAGTCCCTCCTCACCTCCACTTGGTTCAAGATACCCAAAGCAGGTTATGACCATGGACAGTGAGAACTAGAAGGGCCAGGACAGAGCCCAGAGCACATCACCGTACCCTGGGCCCAGGATCACCTCACCTGAGATGACCTCCAACAGCAGCATGAGTTTCAGGCCATCCCGGAAGTCCTCCTCTATATTCTCGATCTGGGTCCCGGCCTTCCGGAGGTGGGAGTTGCACCATGCTGTGAATGTCTGGGCAGAGGGAAGATGAGCGAGTAGTCAGTCTCCTGTCAAGTCACATGGTCTCCAAGGCCCTCACCAGGGCCTTCAATGCCTCCCCAAGACCACCTCCTCTTGAATCTTTCCAGGTGTTCTATAGAGGTGCTAGGCAGTCTCCCTGCCATCACCAGGGAGGGTTGACACCCACCCAGCATGGCTGTTCCAGCCTCCTTCACCTCATCATCAGAACTGCAGCCCAGGTTCCCTATGGAGCTCACCACACATGGGTACCAGGGGAGGAAAAGCACAGCAGCCTCTGCTAATGCAGCCCCTCCCAGCCCTCTTGCCGAAGCATCATTCCTGTCTGGAAGTACCACAATTCCATCCTTGGCAATCCCCCACTGTGGTGAATGAGGTTCAGTCTTCACAGAGTTATGGTGGAGTGAGTCAGAGGTGACATGTTAAGTCCCAATAATACTTCTGGGTAGATTTGATTATGCAACCCTCTTGCACTTGGCAGCTACCTAAGAGGAAAGATTTGGCTTGGGGGGGCAGGGGGGGATGGAGCTCAGATGCATGGTGTCAGGAAAAGAGAAAGAAATGCAAGTGGCCAATGTGTGGATGTGGGTTGCAAAAGTATGAGGAAGAATTCCAGAAAGGGAATGGAAGGAAATTAAATACACAGACCATCAACTCCCTCCCCTTCTCTACAGAACAGATGGTGATCAGATGGGATAGCAACCAAGCTGTCCTGTGTCAGCAGCACCACCTGGTGGCTCATACTAGGAAGGGCTGCAGGCTTCCTATCGCCTTGAAGGACTCCATGCAGAACAGGAACTAATGAAAGTGTGTGCTTAATTCCACTTGTGATAATCCTATCTTTAACTGGCATTGCACACAGCAACCAGAGAAAAGGGGGCTTTTTTGCTGTACTCGTCTCTTCTGTGACTGCTCCAGACTTCTTTGCACCTGATGGTACCAACAACCTATCTACAAGCCAGCGTCCAGCTTACCCACGGCAGGGCTGTTCAGAGCCCTTTCCACCTGCCCTGCCAAGGTCCAATGATGGGTGGCATATTATCAAAAAGGCAGCATCGAGCCCATTGCTAGTGGCTCACAACTATAATCCCAGCTACTCATTATCTGAGAATCAAGGTTCGCAGCCACCCCCAGCAGATATATCTAGAAATACTCTCCTCCTAGGAAAGATCACCTAACCCATGCTTCTCGCCTCCTGGTCCAAAGTCCAAAGTCAAGTGGTCATGAGCGGGAGTGGGTACCAGTACCCCAGTGTTTATTAAGAGGGGAGAAATGGCTGCCTAGATGCATAGGCAAAGGCAAAGAGCCTCCTGTGAGCAGGAGGGAGGAGGAGGAAGAGATGGGAGGAGGAGGAAAGGATAGTATTTTATAACACCTCCCTACTTGGGGGCCTCACCTTTATGTGCCAGCCCAATCCTTTGGGAAGACGAGCACACTGATCAGGTAGGCAGGGCATATGCTGATTCCTTAGCTGAGAATATTTTGCTGGTGACCTCACATTCGTCTTTCAGGATAATGAGTGATGCCATCACCTCCTCCAGGAGGACTGCCGGGGTTGGGTGCAGACTACACAGCACCACACTTTCACTTCATCACTGCCTGGCCTATGGTCGGCTCCATAACCCCAAACTTGGGCATTTCTGAAGGTAAGGACTCATATCTCAGAGTCCCAGGGCTACAGTAGTGAGCAAAGCAGCATAAGTCACAGCCCCTGGGCAGTGAACATTCTAGTGGGTGTGAGAGTTTGGGCAGAGCTGGGGGCCCCTTGCAGGTGACACTGAATAACTGGGGGGGAACACATGGTGTTCTGGGGACGCTGTGTGCAGGGGAGACAGCTCGCAGCAGAGGGACTGGGGCAGGGTGGCACGTGTTCTAGCGGCTCTTGGTGTTGGGCCCAGGAGCCAGGCAGGGGCAGAGAGTGCTGTAGGCTTCCTACTGTCTTGAAGGAAATTGCTCAGCCCCATGGGCCAGGCTCCTGGGGAGAGTCCAGCAGGGACTAAGAAACATCCCTGTTTATAGATGTGGTCTTAAAGAGGGGGTGGGAGGGAGGAGGAGGAAGAGCTGTTTTGTAAGACAGGGCTTGTGAAAGGAGCAGAGCACTGTCGAAAGCAACCAGCCCCATTTCCTGGGGAAGCTGTGGAGCAGGCAGCCAAAACCACACCTGTGTTTGCTCAGGTCTCCTGGACAAAGCCATGGGCTTTGCTCAATCCTCTGCCCTTCCCCCCACCCCTGCAGTTCATGGCTCTGTGCAACTCCCAAGTATTTAAGTAAAGCCAACGCATGGGGAGGAAATGGTGGAGCTAGCCCACGGGTCTGAGCGTGCACTCTGGGATGGACTCTGGGACGGACCCCGATCTCAGTACCACTGCTTACTGCGTGAGCTTCCAAAGAACCTCCCTAACCTTCAGTTCCCTTAGCAGTAAGACAGCACTCCCTAAAAGTCAAGAGGATTCACCAAGAACTATCCACAAGGAACCTGCTGTTTACCAAGTGTCCAACCAACAGCACACACACACACACACACACACACACACACACACACACGCACACAACATGCCTGCAGCTGGGCCTGGAAAGACATCCTTTCTTGGCCTCCACTCACCAAACCCCACCCCCAGGACCACCACCCCAAGTGCTCAAGGGTGACTACAGAAGCTAAATTGTGGCTGGTGCAGAAAAGGGATTTTGACAGTGGCCCCAGCAGAGCAAGATAGCAGATGAGCGTGCCTGCTCCTTAGTAGCCCTGCAGGGGTCCAGTAGGGAGAAAGAACCAACAGCCTAAGCTCTGCGCTGGTCTCACGGCCTCTGCTAGAATACCCAGCCTAGTGGGCAGTGCTATGCCAGAAGGCCGAGGGTCCAGCCTCGTTCACATGAACACCAAGGGGACATCTGACCTCTTGACCCCAACCAGGCCCCCCTCTGGCTCCCCCTAGCTCCAGGAATCTTCTGTCCCCTCTGCCTACCCCCCCCCCAGGCTCACAACAGGCCTGACAAGGAGACAGGAGAGAAGCTGTGTTCCGTGGACATGCTTTGCTGCAGGAAAGGGCTCAGCAAACGCCAGGACCATGCTGGGACAGATGCACTGACTTCCCCGCTTCTTCACTTTTTTTTGGGGGGGGGGGGAGGGCACAGGGAGCAATACTAGGGTTTGAACTCAGGGCCTTGTACTTACTAGGAAGTCACTTACCACTTGAGCCATACCCCTAAGCCCTTTTAGCTTTATTTTTCAAATAAGATCTTGTTATTTTTGCCCAGCAGTCAGCCTCAGACTACAATCATTCAACCTAAACCTCCTGCTGGTCTCCTGTAGCTGGGATGATAGACATGAAACATCATGAATGGTATATTGGTTGAGATGAGGGAGTCTCATTACATTTTTGCCTGAGTTGACCCCCTCTCCCCAAGCCAGACATAGTGTGTTTGCTGTGCTAAGGGAGGAGCAAGTGAGAAGGCTGAGGAAGAGTTCAGCAGCCCCGAGGGCTGAGCTGATGAGAAAGGTCCCCTGTGATGCTGATTCTCCAAGATCCCAGGCCACACCTGAAAATATGAATGAAGGTTGTGTGGAGTTCAGCCAGAATAAGATACACACACCTGGGTTAAAGCAGAGCAATCTCCACCTCTGTACCTGGGGAACTGGGGATCAAAAAACTGTTTGAAGCTAGCCTCACGCCTGTAATCCTAGCTGTTCAGGAAGCTGAGATCTGAGGATCGTGATTCAAAGCCAGCCCAGGCAGGAAAATCCATGAGACTTTCATCTCCAATTTACCACCAGAAAACCAAAAGTAATGCTGTGGCTCAAAGTGGTAGAGTACTAGCCTTGAGTGAACAAGCTCAGGGCAGCATTCAGACCCTGAGTTCAAGGCCATGACAGACCAAAACCAACAACAACAAAACAGATTGTCTTATGCATTAGATTTAGTAAGCCTCACAGGATGTCACTAACACCCCTACCCCAAGCTGAGACACCCCAAAGTCATCTCCTGTTGAGACAAGCAACACATACCACAGGCTATAATCCTCAATCATGTTTCCTGAGCACTTACTTTAGACAGACCCTCATGTATGCTCTGATTCCTATATATACACATTTGTATATCCATGACGCTACAGGGACATACCAATCTGCTCATTTAACAGTAAAAAAGCCCATGTGCTCCTCCTCATTTTTCCTGAAACAGTGGCCCTCTGGGGCCATCCTTTGGTTTCCCACCCACATGAGAAGCTGCCCACTTGCAAGTTTACCAGTGTGCATGGGAGAGAACAAAGAGCAAAGAGAACAAGACTAGGAGGGTGGGGGGAGCCAGGGGATAGAAGCATGCTTTCTGGCCTGCACACATGGACACAGGCCCTCACTTACAATGGAGAAAGGCCAGAAATATGGACTTCGAAGTAAAATCATTTGGTCTTTAAGTGCTGCTACAATTTTAAAGAAAACATGCTACAGAAAACAGCCACCACCATCACCCCCAAAAAAGAAAAAAAAAAAAGAGGTCAGACTCACTGATATCTGGTTCCATGGCAAGAAAACATGAAATCTTCCTAAGTCCCTTCACAAAAGGGGTTACACAAATATTTAACTTGTGCCCTAAAAAATCACCTCACAGACACCCATATTGACTCCTAAGCAGGCCACTGATGACATTGGCTATCTTGGGAATCTGGTAGTGAATGGAGGGGAGACTCCTCTCATCTGAGCTTGATCAACAAACAGCCAGTACACTCCACAAGGGACTGCAATTACATGTGCCACACACAAAGCACCATGGCTTGTGAATTAAAACAAGAAGATGTCATTGATTACATATGCAAATAAGTGTCTGCTAATTCCTGCTGTTAGAGAGGGTACAGAGACAAAGCCTACAATTCCTAATGTGTAGCTGATCTGCCCTAAGACTAGAAGAAAGCAACTTGCCACAGTGAATTGGAATGGGTGGAAACTCTGGACTCCAACTCTGGGGCTCTATCGTGGGTTAATAATGGTGGGCATGGTAGCACACACCTGTAATCTTAGCTAATCAGGAGGCTGAGAGCTGTATACTGAGGTTTGAAGTCAGCACAGGCAGAAAAGTCCTCAAGACTCAAAAATGCTGGACTGGAAGTATGGGTCAAGTGGTACAGTAGTACCAGCTGTAAGGAAGGAAGAGCTTGAGTTCAAGCCCTAGTACAAGTGCACACACACACACACACACACACACACACACACACAGAAACACAAACACAGGAAAGGCTAGGTAAATATGAGAATATTTTTTCCAGCCTTACTTAAGAGAAAAAAATTAGAAATACCCCCAAATTATATTAATAAGGTATCAGCTAAGTAAATTATGGTTCATTCACCTAATGGAATAGTTCAAGGTCAAAATGATGGGTTCTGAACCTATGTTATGGGAGAAGGCTTACATATAATTAACAAGAAAATCAGGAACACAATTGTACATGCTACAGATTTAAAACTTGAAGCAATCACACAAAAATGACAAAGTAAAACCAAATGTATCGCAATGCACACATGGGTATATAGCGGGAACTAAGTTATCCAGGACCCTCTGCTATTTCCCTCTCCCAGTCTCTGTCCCTGTAGCTGGTATGTCTGCCCTTCTCCCTGCTAGGCTTCTCCTGTTGAATGTTTACCCTCCTAGGTATGACCCAGATTCTCCACGATTCTGTCCAGAAAAGCCCCCAGTGACAAAGGTGTGAGCCAACGACCCTCTAGCAGCCAAAGGATGGGACACATCGTACGCAAACATCTCTGATGTCTTGCAGGTAGAGTATGGACCCGTTCCCCTCATAATGTGCCTATACACCACCAAACAGGGAAACTTGGTGTGCTTGTATAATTTCTTTCAATCAGTGGACTCTGATTCTTGTCACAGAAAGCCAGTAAGTTCCACAGAGACAGTCATATCTCCAGCCAACTCAAAGCAGCCCCATTATCTCAGTCTTAGCCAGCTCAGAGCCTTCCCAAGATAGCAAACACACTAAATATTAGTTCATAGGATAGTACTTAGAAGTGTGATATTAGCGTGTGCCTGAACAACCCAGGAGGACCTGGGAACCATGGCTGCCTCCAGTGAGGGAGGCCAAATTAGTGGGGTGGGGGAGAGAATATGCTTTTTGGACTGGGATGTAGCTCAGTGGCAAAGCACTTGCCTAGCCAAATACAACATCCTGGGTTCAATGCCCAGTACCAAAAAAAAAAAAGAATATGCTTTTCATAAAATCCCTTTTCTTTTTAATTTTATACCATATGTAAATGGTATATTTATGAGATACAGAGAAAGGGCTTAGAACTTTCTAGTGCCATTATGAAGAAAGTTCTAACTAGGGGCCAGGACAGAGGACACACCAGTGATCAGGCACAGACAGTCAAGTAGCCAAGAGGTCAATAGTTAATTGCAGAAAGAACAGCATGCTCCTACATGGTCCCAGAACCCTCCCCCTCTGCTTGCCAAAGAAGCTTCTGAACCTCTTCAAAGTGGTACAGGGCTTTCTCTTCGAGTTATTGAGTGGAAAACACAACCCAGCCAGG